GCCATCAAGAAGCGCAAGCTCACGGATAATGTCATCAGCATTCAGGCGATTAGCGACAGCTCAGACGAGGGCTTGGGCTCCATGTCCCCAGAGCCGATGACATTGCTGTCGGCAGGCGGTGCGGCAGTCACCAAATTGAACAGCGCTAGCATTATTGCGGCCAAGGAGCTGGTCGAAATAAAGAAACAGCTGGAGAAGGAGCGCAGCCTGCGTCGGCTGCTAGAGGATGAGCTGCAGATGATCAAGCGGCAGCTGTACAGCGTGGCCACAGCGCCACCTGGCACAGCTGTGGCGGCGGTTAGCGGCGGCAGCGTCGGCGGCACCTACATTCCACGTGAGGTCATCGAGCATACGGACAATTTTGTGCGAAGCGAGGATCTGGAGGAGCTGGGCGGCACCGTCTCGTATGTGGAGATCGACGAGTTGACCGGACAGCAGCAGGTGGTGGTGTGCTCCAGCATTGAGGAGCTGGAAGCAGACGCCGGTACCGAAATCATCACAGAAGATCACGTGCACGAGGAGGTCATACTGTCGTCCAACAGCTCGACGGAGTCCGAGAATGAGGTGAACGTGAATGCCATTGCCAAAGCCTATGCCGAAGGATGTACGCCGAGTGCGGCCATGCTGCAGCCCATACTGCAGGCGGCCATCAAGGCCACGCCCAAGGTGGAGGTGGAGCGCATCCACGAGAAGATCGTCAAGGTGAAGACGGAGAAGCTCGAACAGCCGGTGCCAACGGTGCACTACCGCCAGAATCTGGAGACAATTGTCGAGGCCATTCGGCACCTGGAGGGGGATCATCTCTTCTCCGACGGCAACAACGGTTCGGAGCACAGGCAGTACAGCCAGCAGAATCATCACCACCAGATCGTGACCACCAGCACGCATCACTCGGGCGTTGTGGGTGTCCACCATCAGCAGCACCATCATCACAGGCTCGCCCAGGACGCGCCACTGGCCCTCACCACCGGCAAGCAGCATGCGGCGCTGGCGGAGCTGAGGCCCTTCCTTCAGATCAAGGGCAACAACAAGGTCATCATTACGGCCAAGACGGCAAAGGATGGTGGCGGTTTGGTCACCACCGGGAGCAGTGTGACGCCCACCGCCATCTTCAAGGTGCAGAGCAGCGGGAGTGCGGGGATTGGCGGCGGTAACCATCAGGGAACAGCCACCATTGTAAGTGGCAGCAGTGTCAGCGGCGGCAATCAGCAGCTGACGATCACCACGGCGCTGAAGCAGTGCCGCCCAGGCGTTATTGTGGCCAAGCAGCTGCCATCATCCTGATTGCCCAATGATGCGACCAAGACCAGCGCCCGACCAGGACCAGCACGAGCTAGTATTAAAGGCGCTCGAACGGTGGCTTCCGCAACAACAACAACAGCAGCAGCAGCGAAAGCAGCAGCAACAACAGCAAAAACAACATCAACTAATTTCAACAAGCAGAGACATGCAGTAACAGTCGCCGGTAGGCCACCTCCTCGTAACGGCAGCAACAGTAACAGTAATCTAAACACTAACGGTAACAGAAATGCAAATGCAAGGGCACTGAAAGACCCGTTACGTACCAGAGGCGGCAACACCGGCATCACAGGCAGACAATTCATGTAAAAATTAGTAAACAAACGAAACGGAAACTGAAACAATTTTTGTATTTTTGGATTTTCAAAATATTCTTTTCTTCTAAAAAAAAAACAAAAATTTTCCACAAAATAGAAATGCGAGTACATAGCCACATTAATTAATTGCAAAATATTAGAAAGAATCCATTGTTAACTTAAGGACTAAGAATGAAGTAGGAGGAGGAGTAGGTGCAAACGAATAAAACAGAGAGAAAGCAAATTGATTTACAAACAAAACACAGAAGCAACAAAACAGAATAACGAAACAAACAAAAGTACAAAACATACAAAAAAAATAGACATAAAAGTTTATGAGTTTTTTTTTTATTATTTATTAATAAAAAAATTAAGAAATAAACTCGGAAACACAAGAGAAACAATAAATAGCAAAAAGAGAAAAGAAAAGGAAACGAAACGAAACGAAGAAAAGGATATAAAGTTTTGGAGAAAATCATTCAATGGAATAAACTAAGCAAGAAATCGCATTAAAAAAAGCAAAACATAAAGTATATAATATACATGCATACTATATATCTATAAGGTGTATGTATATACTACATAGGATACCCGTATATATAGAAAACACATGCTTTACGATCGTGTGGGAGAAGCAAATGTGTTGAACTCTATAAAAACCATCGCATTAATTTAACCGTTCTTTAAATTATTTCTTGTATTATTTCTTACTTTAACTATTATCTTATTTACGGATTCATATTACTTTTTGAATGGAACTTATTGAGTTTTTGTTGATATATTTGTGTAAAAAATTTAATTCTAATTATGTAAGCGAGCGAGAACGAAAGATTAAGCCTAAAAACATAAAAAACCCTTTAATAACGAACGTAAGAAGAAACAAAAACAAAACAAACGAAAGAGAAAACTAAAAAAAAAAGAAAGTGAAAATCGTTTATTATATAAACTATATTATATATAAATATATATATATATATACATATATAAATTATATACATATAAATCAACCATAAACATATATAAATAATACATACCTAAATAAGTAACGGAACATTACATAAAATTACTACTAAAAAAATACACAGAAACACACATACATATATATACGAGTATATATAAATATAAATATATATACATAAAAGAATAAATAAATACTTTGCATACATATTTAATATGCTTTAGTACATAAGTACAACAATGTTCAGAGTTAAAAGGGCCAAGAACCCACTTTCGAGAAGCCCTAAAAACCCTAACTCCCAAAACCCCACTTATCCTCCAGTCATAAGCGAATGCCCACGCCTGTGCGAGTAGGGCCGAGCTGTCGCCATTGCTGCTGCTGCTGCATCTCTTTGGCTAAGCCGCTGCGCGGCTGCGCTCCCTGGTAGCTTCGCCAGCTACGACACCAAGTGTCCGGAGGAGTTAGCGCCCAGCCACCGCTGGCGGCTTGGTATCCCGCGCATCCGCCCCCTTCCCCTCACAAGGAGAGAGAGTATGAGAATGATCGAAGAGAGAGCAGCAGACAAACAGACAGACAGACATACCGCTCGCACAGGTGTCTGGCATTCGGGATACATATGATGGAATGTGTCGTAAGGAAACAATATGCAGGCCCGTTTACCGTTAAAAAAGAAAACGAAAAAATACATTGAAGCATACGAGTATATAAGCCAGATCATACATACAACATATTACTACATACATTCATGCTCTATAAAAACAGAAAACTAAAAAAAAAACAACAAAAAAAACTTAAAAAATACAAAGAATTATGTCAAATAAATGGTTTTTCCTTTTTCCCTCAAAAAAACAACAACTGGAGTTATGTATTTATTCTTTTGTTTATTAACCATCACTAGAATTGACTTAATCCTATTCAGACCTGACATTAAACTACGATTCTTCTACGATTTTAAACAAGAACTTAAACTTAGAGGCGAAAAACATAAACTAATTTCTTATTTCGCTAATGGAATTCAACACTACAGCTGCTCTTCCTCGATCTGCAGGTCTGTGGTGAAAACGTACATGTCCCGCCGTCTGGCGAATAGCAGCTCCTCCGACCGGCTGGGATGCGTTGCCAGTGAATGAACTACTCCGCCATTATCACCTGAAAAACAGATATTTTCAATGATTTTCAAAGCTTAGCAACTATTAAATCCGTACTTATGCGTATTCTCTGCAAGACCTTTCCCTCCAGCAGATCCCAGATGTAGGCATCCCCGGCACTGGAGCCGGCCACAATGTGCGCATCATTGGCTAAGATGCCGCACTCTATGTGATAGTCATCCGCCTGGTGTCCTTTGTATTCGGAGAGCAGTCCGCCCGTCTCACAGTCGATCAGTCGCACCACACTGTCCTGACAGCCCGCCACCAGGCACTGTTCATCCTGCGTTCTGGCCAGGTAGGTGATGGGTTCCCCGACCTTGTCGCAGATCATCTCTCCCACACGAATATCGTAATGCCGTATGCAACCGTCCAGCGAGGCGGCATATATCTTGTTCTCGTTTGTCAGAACTGTGGTGATGCAGTCGCGAGCGTCCTTCATTACCTGGACGGGATCTAGGCGACGGGTGCGTATGTCCCAGCACATGACGACATTGTCGCGGCCACCAGAAATGGCAATGGAAGAGTCCTCATTGAAGCAGACGCAACGAACGCCACCAGCATGACAGCGCAGACGACGGACAGGTGCTCCCGTGGATACATCCCAGTAGATTATGCTCTTATCCAAGCTAGAAGAGACAATGTAGCTGCTATCACAGCTGCCAGCCACGTCTGTTACCTCATCGGCATGTCCGCCATAGGTCTTCAGGAGCAGTCCGGTGGCAGGATTCCATAGTTTGACCTTCTTGTCGGAGCCGCAACTCAAGCAGTACGAGCCATCAACTAGAAATAGTTACTTTAAATGTTGGCCTTTTAATGGGGATATCAACTCACCATTATAGCGCACCGCACGCACTGCTCCCTGTTGGCAGTCTATAGTTGTTTTGCAATGGTAATTAGCAAAAGCCGGCATTGTTTTTACAATTTTGTTTTGCTTAAATACCAAAAATGCACTAGCGCCACTGGAAAAGGGCTCAAGTGAAGATACCAGCGTTAGCAAAAAAATACCAGCTTTTTGGCACTTTTCAGCATCTTTGAAGCAGTGCTGACAGAATTGCAGAGTAAATACATGCTAGATTCCAAAAAGAGCTAAAACCAACAGGAACAAGTTTTGTGACAGTTTCGTTAATATTAAATGGCATCTACCAGCATTTAGAACATTTTCAACCTTAAATTAACATATTTCCCGTTACAGTTATGCACTCTTTTGCATTCCTTTTTATTAAGTTTTGAAAAAAGTTGTTATTGTATTTGGTATATATCAAAATCGAGATGGTAAATTTTGGTATTTCGGTCCGCGGTCACACTGCTGCAAAAAGGTAAACACAACGCAATAAACGGAATTTTCTATTTACGCACTTTAACGAAACAAGCAATTAAATCGAAATAAATTGTCGGCAAATCGGGTGTGCTTTAATAATTAAGCAAATGTTGATTTCATATAGGATTCATATATTCTTCTGTTTAAATTGAGAAACTGCGTGTCAAGTGTAACTTACTTGTGGGCGGGGGTGGCGGTGCAAAGCATTAACCAACAAAAAAAAAAAGAAGTGAGAGGTGGAGAGGAGAGAAGAGCAGGTCATAAGCAAGCGAAACGCATGTCAAGCGCGACAAAAATCACCTGCCCAAAAGCCGATTTCTGATGACGTGGGCTGCAAAACGAAGGACAGCTAGCAGTCAAACGACGACGACAGGATATACACATATTTTTCCAGTGCACACACACTCGCACACACATGAGTATGCAACGCAACAAACCAGTTGTTGTTGCATATAAGTGCAAGTGAAGGAAGCCAGGCAGCATAAAGTAAGCGAAAATCCTGCTTCCAGAATAACTGCACAGCAGAAGAGCAAGAGGAGACGAACAGAAGCATGGAATAAAGGTGCATATCTGGAGAGGAGCTAAAGTTAAGAATAAGTGCATACCAGCAGAAGGTAAGGAATAACTGCACACAAGAAGAGAACAGAGAGAGAAAGAGAGAGTGAGAGAGACAAGGAGTGCACACCTGAAGAAGAGCGAAGAGAGGCCAGGAATAAAGTGCACAACCGCACACACACGTACACAAAAGGAGCAAACACAGGCAAACACAAACAAAAAAGCACAAAAAAAAGCAAGAGAAAAAGTACAAGAAAAAGGGCCCACGGACACGACGACACAAGGTGGAAAAGTAAAAAAGTTGTTTGTCAACTTGTTGGTCGCTCAAATGTGGCAGCCACAAAGAGTGGCTGCTGGCTGGCTGTACAGCTACCAAGTGGAATCCCAATCCGATACCGAAACCGTCGCCGCTTCCCGATCCTCGAGTCATTTCAAACGCAGCAGCGCCTGCGGCTAGATCGAAACAGAGCCAGTTGGAATATCTCGTGTGGAATACTCGCATTTACCTCCCCCTCGGCAACACCAACGCGCAGCAACAGCTCCCGCCCACCCCCCTCGGCAGCACTATGTCAACGGTCACGCGGAGCGCCAGCGCCAGCCCCATGGCGCTCAATGGCATCATCGACGCCAGCCTCTTTCCGCTCAAGTCCACCGCGGATGTTGTGAATCTATTCCGTCGCGCCCTCACCTCCGGCATTGAGCCCGATCTGACCCTGCTCTCCATTGTGGTGGGTTACATCGAGCTCTCGCTGACCACGGGAGAAGCGGCGTCTCAGGCGGCCGCTGCAGCCGCTGCCATGACGCAGGCGGCGACAGGTGCGTACCCATTTACCGTTAGCCGAAACCAATTAAAACGGAAGTTTAACCTGTAGTCAAGGCAGTGCGCGAAATTAGACAGTGCGTTTCAAAAGTATAGGGCCAAAAGAAGCAATAATAAAATTAAAATAAAATTTTCATTCAATAAAAATGCTTTAGGAAAAGTATAAAAAAAAAAGTTTAATATTTATTAATCTGAATTAATATTATTCTTTATTTAATAAATTTAAATAAAAGAAAACAATGAAAATCCTTGAAACCCCTTTAAAAAGTCTTTAGTTAATGAAACGCACTTTCGTTGCACCCTTAAATGTTCCGTTTTTAGTAGTTTCCGTTGTACCTTTCGAATATTCAAGAAAACTTAATCAATCGGATCTCCCCCTCTTTTGGCAGGCGGCAGCGATGTGATCATGGGCAACAGCGTTCCCTTTCCGGTGGTTACCCACGAGCTGATTGCTGGTCTGTACAAGAAGTTCCAGACAATCCTGTCGGTGGTGGAGAAGCCAAAGCCACATCGCCAGGCCACGCGCGAAATCATCAAGAAGGTGTCGGACGTTATATGGAACTCGCTGATTCGCAGCAGCTACAAGGATCGCGCCCACTTGCAGAACCTCTACAGCTATCTGTCGGGCAACAAGCTGGACTGTTTCGGTGTGGCTCTGGCCGTGGTGGCCGGCTGTCAACTTTTGGGCTACAAGGATGTGCGTTTGGCCATCTCCGAGGATCATGCTTGGGTGGTGTTTGGCCAGAAACGAGTGGAGACCATTGAGGTGACGTGGCACGGCAAGGGAAGCGAGGACAAGCGTGGACAGGATATACGCCCTGGAATCGAGTCGGGCTCTTGGCTCTATCTTGGCGGCCTGGCGGTTGTCTGCGAGCGTGGCATGGAGGTGGCCGCCATCTGTGCTGCCCTCAACATCTCACTGACGGCCAACAGCGATTGCGTGGAAGTGGCCGAACTGCAGCAGCAGTTGCTGTGGCTCCTCTACGATTTGGGGCACCTCAAGCGCTATCCCATGGCCCTGGGCACGCTCGGCGAACTGGAGGAGATCCATCGGACGCATAGCATCATCACGTGCGAGCAGCTCTACCGCGAGGCCATCGATTCGGCGCGAACGCACTACCGCAACCATCATGTCTATCCGTACACGTATCAGGGCAACTACTACAATCGTCTACTCAAGTATCGCGACGCCTTTGCCGCCTGGGCCAATGCCGCCGATGTGATCCGCTTGTACACGTATCAGTGCCGCGATGACGAGGAGATCTACAAGGAGCTGCTGGACATTGCCAACGAGCTGATTCCCTATGTAATGAAAACGGAGAGCTCGGGCCATTCGGCACGCAGCATTCTGCGGGATGCGGAGGTCTTTGCCAACCTGCTGCGCTTCTACGATGGCATCTGCCAGTGGGAGGAGGACAGCCTGACGCCCATTCTGCACATTGGCTGGGCCAAGCCGCTGGTCAATAATATAACCAAATTTGATTACGATATACGCTCACAGGTGGTCATCAAGCTGCCCGAGGATCTGGAGGCTGAGCAGGCACAAGCGGCCGCATTGGAGGCTAAAGAAGCGGCGGCAGCAGCAGCTGCAGCTGCTGCAGCAGAGGCTCTAGAGGGTAACAACAACACGGTGGTAAAGAAGGACGAGGTGAGATCAGAGGTCAAGCATTTAATTTACTTTTGTTAAATGTTTTTCTTCTCAAAATAGAAGACAAAATCTTCGGAGCTGCCGACAACATTGGCTGATCTGACCGCAGCTTGTGGCGAGAAGATATTAAATCCAGATTTTCTGCTTCAGGGCGGTGGTCAGCCTTTTGCAGAGCAAAAGCAGCAAACAGTGGCGGGGACGGACGGCGCAGAGCCCCACAATAACAACAACAATAGCAATAGCAATAACAACAATCATCACAATGCTGAAAAGGAGGCTACAAAAACAACAACAACAACAACCACAGCATCAGTAACCACTAGCAATGGAGGAAGTGGCAGCAGCGGCAGCAACTCCATTGCCATTCAGTTGCCAGTTACTAGTGAGGCAAGCCATCAAGCTGGCCAAACGCAAACCCAAACCCAAACCCCCCAAACCCATATCCAAAACCAATCACAGCACAAAGAAGCTAAACCAGAGCCAGAGGCGACTGCACCCGATGACTACGATCCCTTTGAGATAATGCTCAAGCGTCCGGTGATTGCGTTGTACAGTCAAAAGATGAAGGGCCTCAAGGATCTGCTGCTGGCCGAGAAGCTCAATACGCACGCCATATCGCTGCAGGTCACAGCACAGTCGGTGGCCTCGCGGAAGGTACGCGGCGTGGCCGAGAAGCAGTCGGCAGCGACCATCTCCGCCACCATTACGGCCATTGCATCATCATCAACGTCGTCGGGCACAGAGGGCGGTGGGGGTGGCGCTGCGGCAGGAGCATCCCTGGGCGCCTCATCGCCAGGCGGTGACTCGATAGCCGCCTCGCGGCCCAAGCGAACACGTCGCGAGTAAAATTTGTTGTCTTGAAAAAAAGAAAAAAAAATCCTTTATTATCCATATTCGAGTATATTATATATATAGATGCATACATAATGTATATAGGATGTATGCTGTCTCATATTTTTGATGTTCGATGTGTATTTATGTAGTTTGTAAGCGCAAAAGAAATCCGTTAGAGAACGCCTAGCGTTTTAAAAACAATATAACAAGAAATACAAACAATTGTAAGAGGAATAACCCAGACAGCAGATCCACAGACACACACACAGCAAGCACTTTGAAACGATGATGATATAAGCTATGCTAAGTATTTATAATGTATTTTTTTAGCTGTTATACTTTAACTCTTTGTATTTATTGCTTCTATCCACTGTCGTATCGTATACCCCCCTCCACACACTTACCGCAGTTTATTTATGTTTTATTGATTGTTTAAGCGTAACTTTATTGGTGCTCTACTTTGAACGAAACAATATAAATATTTGTTGTATTTACTGGAATGCATTTTATTGAGGCTAAGCTGCTTGTTTATTTTTTTTTTCACTCTACAAATGTACTACCCCGCGCTACACCCCATGTAATATTTAAGACGCAACAAACAGACATAAGAAAATATGTTTTTTTTTTTTGTTAAACTCAAACCGAAACGTAATGAAGCAGAAAACATAAGAAATAATACATATTTAACACTCTTCCTCTCTATATGTGATACAAACAAACACTTTTTCTAGAAAAAGCTTTCATATTATATCTTTATAAACCTTAAACTACAATACATAGAATATAACCTCCTAAAAACCACCCACTTGAAACACAAACAGACAGACAGGCGCACTTGTTTTAGGGATATCAAAATCCCCTCTATATATATGTATATGTATATCCCTGTACTTCTTCCCCCATAATTACACCCAATTAGCAAACGCAATTATGAAGCATGTCAAAAGTGTTACTCACAAATTGGAGCTTGTAACAAATTGTTAAATGATGATAATAATTGCATTCAATTCGATTTTTGATTTGATTTGTGCGTAGAGCATCTGTGATGAATAATAAATGTTTACGAGAGAGAGAGAGAAAGAGAAAAGTGGAAGATGGCCAGCCCGAAACACACACAAACAAAAACTGATAAACTGAACAACAATATAAACTAATCATTGTAATGGTGTTTTATTCCTCATATACGAGCATATTGTACAACAAGCAAAAACATTACACAAAATCAAAAACAAAACACACAAAAAACATTACAAAATAATGAAAAAAAAAAAATTTAATTATGTAGATGCAGAGCGCAGCAAAACTAAATGTTAAATGTTGAACTACCAGTTATATTAATGTAAAATTAGATACTTAAAACAAAACAAAACAAAACGATACAAATGACTATATATATGTACAATACAATATATATACATATATTTTGGCATACAAAATTTTAAACTTTAAGTGATGGAAAGATGAGAAATGGTTTTTGATTTTCTTTACATTTTGGCCAGCACAAAATCCCGTTAACGAAAGTTCGCTATGAAACAAATCAAAAACAAAAATGCAGTAAAACCCGAACAGAAACAACAATATATAAACGTATACACACACACACACACACACGTACATACATATATATTTATAAATGTTAAATAACATAAATTTTCGCTCTAATTGTTTTAAAATAGCCAACAACAGCAGCAGCAGCAGCCATTGCTCGAAGAACAACAGTTTAAATTATATGTAGTTTAAAATCCAAATGCTCAATAACCCCTTTAGCTTGAAAGTCAAATAGCCACAAGTCAAAATGTTATAAAACAATAAAAAAAAATAACTTATTTTCGGGTTCTCTATGTCGGTAGCTTCAGTTTTGCTATTGGTGTTTTTGGATTCAACGGGACCCGGCAAATTCGTTCAGTTTATCGCACAAAAATACCGATAACTGTGAAGTCACGTGTTCAATGCCATTTAGAAAGCAGAACATGAACAAAAGAAAGTCAGTTTGCTACAAAAGTCAAACAGCAAGTTTCGTTGATAAACAGCCACTTTTCAAGCCTAGTCCATAAATAATACATTATCAGCCAAAAGTAAATGACGATATTTTGATGTCGATATTGAGTCCACGGTATATTTTTTTCAACAGTATATTCCTGAGCAACAGACGGTATATTGTGTTGCTAATTCAACGGTCACACTGCCTACAAGTGACTCGGCATCAAAATAGCGTCAAGAAAATTGCAAAAACTTAAACCAAGTAAAGAGAAATATTTATAAAATGTCTGCACCCGATAAGGAAAAGGAGAAAGAGAAGGAGGAGAACACCAACAAGGGCGAGGACTTGGGTCTGCTCGAGGAAGACGACGAGTTCGAAGAGTTTCCCGCTGAAGGTGAGACCAGACCGCTTCCAATTAGAGGAGCAGAAATTATACAAAAACAAATTGTCATTTGCAGATTTCCGTGTCGGCGACGACGAGGAAGAGCTCAATGTGTGGGAGGACAACTGGGACGATGACAACGTGGAGGATGACTTCAGCCAGCAGCTGAAGGCGCATCTGGAGAGCAAGAAAATGGAAACATAATCCAGCCAAGCCAAGCCAACCCCATTTCCCCCCCGTTCGTACCTAACCATCAAAACGAGCAAACGATCAGTTAAAAATCTAGAATAAAATCAATATATTAAGTGGATCCGTTCAGTTTTTACCAAGTGCCACCAACATCTCTTCAATCACCTTGCCCATTGCCTCTTGTTCTTCTATTTGTCGCTGCAACATTTCCAAGTTCTTGGATCGCTCTTCCTCGGCTCTTTTCTGCTCTTCCAGAGCGGTCTTACGCACATCGATTTGCTGCTGGAACTTTTGGCACTCCTCATCGTACTTCTCCTTGCGCGTTTGGAACTGCTCGGCGGACTGCTGGAGCTCCGTTTTGTTGACATCAATTTCGCTGAGAAGTTTCTGATTCTGGGCCTCCAGGGCGGGCAGCTGCTTCTCCATCAGCTCCTGCTGCTTGAGGTTTTCCTTGTAATCGTCCAGCAAGCTGGCCGGCAGCACCTCCAAGGCCTTCTCTATCTCAATGACCATATTCAGATTGGCTTCTATTTTGCTGCGATGATCGTTGAAGAGTTGCTCCTGCACGGCCAACTCTTCCTTGCAATTCTCTATGTTTCGGGACATACTTTCGATTTGCCTGCAGACGCGAGATATTAATTGAAGCTCTTGGAAATGTTTTAACAACTTACTTCTTTATGTTGAGAACCTGATCATCCTCCACGACCAGCTGCTCCCAGTGCCGGATCTGACTGGTCAGCTCCGTGTGCTGAATCTCAAGCGAATCCAGCGCCGATTTCTGTTCGTTGCACGTCTTGTTGTGTTTGGCCAACTGTGCCTGAGCCTTGGGCAGCTCCTCGCGCAACTCGTTTATGGCCAACTGACAGTTTTCTATGTCAACTTTAACAGAGGCTGCCTTCTCCTTTCGATTCTCCAACTGACACCGCTTGGATGTGATTTCAGCGATGAGCGCCTCGCGCGTTCTGATGCTCTCCTCGACGGGCACAAGAACCGAACGCTTGAACAGCTTGTAGTAGGCCAAATAGTTGAACAGAAAGTCCAGTGTTTTTATTGTCTTCTTGGGCGCTAAGGAATGCAAAGGAACTAAGAGATCATCTCTAGATTTGATGCTCAGCCGCTTACCTGGCCTGATTATGTCCAGGTACGTGTAGGTCTTGTTGGGAAAGGTAATCTGCATTATTCGCTCCACTTGCCGGCACAGCTTGACCAGGAACACGCGCTTCTCCCGCGACGTATCGGTGCCTTCGTTGTCGACATTGAATGGTGGATCCGCCCGTAGTCCGAAGCAGCGCAAATACTGAACATAGACTCTGGTTAGGAACGCCTCGGTGGGATTGGCCAGATCGGTGGGACGTATATGCAGATCTGGCATCAGCGTGTTTCCTTGCTGCAGCACCATTTCCATCTCGTTGCTAATTGGCTGGTTCTTAGACATATTTGCTAAAATTAGTTTTAAATAACAAAATTCAAAGTGACGCCAAAACAAATGTGGTGTGTGACCAAGTTTGGCTACGTGAAAAGAACTGCAAATGAAATATACCACATTTGGTATTTTTCAAAGCTGTTTGATGCAACACTCGAGTAACGGTTATCTTATGCCTGTTACCATGGATTTGCTTTATTTATCTTGCTTGAAAAAACATAAAACTCGCGAAAATGACGTCCTCTAGCGCTGTAGAAGATGAACATCTTACCGACTCTGATTTGACCGATGATGAGGGTGAGTTGGGACAACGTGTATTGACCGGAATAATGAGAAACGAACAATTTAAGAGCGCAACGTGGAGCAGCGCCAGGAGGAGCTGCGTGTTGAGACACCTCGGCCGGTGTACAGCGATGAGGAATTGCATCAATTGGTGGAGTTTATACAACGCATGTGTGTGCTGAGCGGCTTGGATCATCGTGACTGGCATGAGAACTCAGTGGACATCATTCGCCGCTGGCTGTTGGAGGTCAACGAGCCTCTGCTGACTGTCTTCTATGATGAAAGCACACTGACCGCCTGCCTGGGCTTCCCAACCATGTACATCATCGACATGAGCTACTTTCGTCGCGAACCGAACGAGATCTTCAGTGTGGAGGCCTTCCACGATGAGATTCAATTCGGCACGGTTCATAGCGATGTGGATGGCTGCCTGCTGCATGTCCTGGAGTGGCTTTATATGCCCTTCTTCCGCAATTATCCCGAATGGAATGAGACTGTACGCCAGCGCTTTTGCTCGAGCATGGATAGGTTTCTGGGATTCCTTACGGGCATGCACTACCAGATTGGTGGCATGGCCGTGCTCTATGTTCCCGGTGTGATCAAACAGCTTGGAGGCGGTGAAGGTGGAGTGGTCAAGGTGGACAGGCAGCTGGCCAGGAGCCTGGAAGGCATTGCGCTCTATTGGACAACTCAAATACGCACCATGCTGGGCGATTGCACATTGACGGTGCCACACGATTTGGTCACGGTGCAGGATGAGTTTGAGTTCTGGGAATATCGTTGTAGGTAAAGCAAATCTCTCTTACAAAATCATTCTAAATTAATGCCATTCCCTGCCCCGATCCTAGATGAAGTTCTGCAGGGCATCAACGCCCAATTGGCGCAGTCGGATGTGGCAAAGGTGTTCCATGTGCTGCGACACTCCAACTCCGTTCACATGCCCCAAATGGATGAGCTCATAGCGACGGCCAAGCTGGAGCTGCTGCAATCTTTGTCCAACTTGAAGTATCTCCAACTGCTGATCGAGCCCTGCTCCAAAATTGAGCTGTCCAGCAGCCCGGCAGAGCTTACAAAGCTGCTGCCCAGCATAATCCATCTGGTGCGCTTCATTTGGCTGAATTCGGAGCACTATAACACACGGGAGCTCATCACGGGTCTTTTTCGGAATCTCAGCAATCAGATTATCAAATTCTGCACCGAGCAGACCAAAGTGCAGGAGATACTCCAGGGACGTCCGCGCTTTGGCATCGAGATGTGCAACATGTCCATCGAATGTTGTTTGGTCTACAAGGGAATCTATGAGGAAATATCGAGGCAGCACAGCCAAGTGGATTGGCAGCTGGACGAGGGCATCATCTTCAATCATGTGGATGCCTTTGTGGAGCGGCTCAACGATGTGATTGATATTTGCGAGTCCATGATTGTATTTGGACGAATGGATGAGCACGAGACCATACCCAGGGCAGAGTTTGGCGGCACCAGAGGCGCGGAGCTGGACAAGATTGCGGCGAATGTGGAGAATACCTTTCTGGAGACACTCGGGAAGCTGCAACGCTGCTGTGGGCCACAGTCGATCATCCTGAATGTGCATCGCGAGGATTGGTACGACGAGGTGGCCATGTATCGTGCGAATGTCCAGCACTTGGAGGAAACCGTTCAGCGTTTGATCTTCAATGTGTTTCAGCATGTTTGCAATGTCGAGGAGGCACTGGAAGGACTGCAAGCCATGCTCTTCTACTCTTATCGCCATCACGGCACTCTGAGGAAGACTTTCCTGCGGGAGGTGAGTCGCTTGTGGCGCATGTTCTCCCAGGAAATGGATGCCACATCGAGAAAGCTGCTGGAGTGTCGACAGCAACCAGAATCCTGGCTCTCCCCTCATGTCTCCCGTGCCCTTAACTACCGCATAAATCTGGAACGCCTCAGCTGGCTGCGCAATCGTTTGAAGAGCGCCGCATGGCTGCCGGCCGTCAAGGAGGCTGCTGCCACGCTGGCAAAGTTCGATTCGCTGCGCAAGGAGTACGATCGAGAGTCGCGCCAGGCGTACGAGGATTGGCAAACGGAATGCTGTGGCTGGTCAGCCGATCTCAACCAGAGACTCGAGCGCTATCTGATAATACGCAGCAAGCAGGCGAGAGGTTTGCTCGAGTGCAACATAGACCCAGCTGTGGTCGAGATCTGTGAGCAAGCGCAGCACTTTGAGCGTTTGGCTCTCCCCATTCCAAGTACCATTAAAAAGTTCTACGAGCGAAGTGACAGCCTGAGATCTGCGTACAACAGCGTCACCCAGCTGTGTCTCAGCTACAATCGCATCCTCATGGGCCTCACCGACCGCGAACGTAAGCTATTTCGACCGCTCATGCTAGCCTGCGATCGGCACTTGGCGCCGGGCATCTTCAAACACACCTACGGCGACGATTTAAGCGAGCAAACGTTCTTCGAAGAATGCGGGGAGTTTCTACGAGACTTTCAGGAGATTGTGCACATTTACAAGCGCGCGAATCGAGGTGTGGCCAGGTGCTGCGAAAAGATTTGCGACACCACGCTGCTGCGCTTTAATTTCATGGGCGCCGTGGACATATCCGTGCTGCAGCAGCAGCTATCCGGCTGGCTAACCAGCGCTGGCAATACACTCAGAAATTATTACAACAATATTGTGGAGCTACTTTCTGCTTTCAGCAGGCAGTTTCATTTGGTTAAAGATGAGGTGAGTGGATGGAGTGGCCATGGATACATCTGAGAATGCTTTGCCTTTGGTTTTTAGATGTCTGCCGAGTGGATTCTTTATGTAAACGGTCTGGACGATATGCTGGCCAATGCATTCATGACCAGTGCACGCAGCTCGCTGACCAAGCTCTTCGAAGCGCTGCATCGCGATGAGGACATGGCACCAGCACCCATTTTGGTACTGGAATCGGATGTGAAGGAGGGTCGGATTGTGTTTAGCCCGGATATGGATGAAATTGGCACTATCCTGTGTGGCGTGATTGATAATATTCGCTGCATGTTGGATCAGTTTCCTCGTTTGGGCTACAAGCTGCGGCTGCCCAAGGCAGAGCAGCGTCAGGGATTCGCTGGAGTGTTTCGCGAGGATCAGGAATGCTCCGAGCTGATGCGCAGCATTCAAGCGGAAATATCCAAGCAGCGGCAGGAGATGGACAGCTACCAAGAGCACTGGAATCATCATCGCATGCTGTGGGAAAACACCGAAGAACAGTTCACCCAACGACTGCTCAAGAGTGACCGAACAGCGGGAGTGTTTGAGGGTGGCATTGAACATTATAGCGCCCTGGCCGATGATGTGTCCTTTGTGGATGCCATCACGAATGTTTACTTCATTTTAATCAATCAGAATGCTCTGAAGAGTACCATTTTGGATTGGATAGAGAAATGGCAGGCGTTGAATATTAAAATGCTGCTGGATCATGCCACCAACTGGATGAGATGTGCGAATGCATACTCGTAATTCTCCAAATCCTCATCTAATTATCTTCTCTTACAGCAACCTATCGCTATATGCGTCGGAATGAGCGGAATGTGATGATGGTGCCGCGCACAATTCGCGAAACGTTGGCTGCCAAACAGCTCTTCGAACGTTTGGTCCGGGAGGTGCCGCTCAAACAGGCGACCTTTACACCCATGCTGGAGCTGTTTGTGCTGCTGCACAAATATCAAGTAAAGCTGGCCGACAAGACGCACGAGCAGGTGCTCGGCTTGGAATCCGCTTGGTTGCACTACCTTCAGACCTTGAGCGAGGCGGATGAGATGCTCGACAATGAAGGCGATGAAAACAAATTGGAGCTGGCCAAGCAGGCGGAGAAATTCAGGTTTATATTGAAGGAGTTCCTCGAGGATTTCTACTCTAAATTGCCCAAGAAATAGCTGAGGTTTTTATGTACATTTTGCATATATTTAATATTTTATTTATGTTTTATAGATTATGCTGAATGAATGAGCTGCCATTTTGATGTCACATACACTTTAATAGTTTCTCCTTTTCAGTGGTGAACGTTAAGTTATAAAATGTAAATGCAGTTTGAGTAAAAAAACCACAAACAAGCTTGCAACTGAATGTAATTAAGTTTGCTGCTGATTAAGCACTGCGTTAATGTGCGGTTTCGGGCAATTAGTTGTGGTGTACAATGCCAGTTGTGGGTGTTGGTTGTGGTTTGCATTATTAACGCTGTTAATGCTTACTCAGATCCGAAAGGAAAACACTAGAAAACTGTGCGGCAGAGTGTGACCAGAGTTGTAAGCCGCATTCCGTACGGTTACACTCCTCAGACAGCTGCTGTTGTGTGTTTGTTTACATTTTGTGCATTTTTAAAAGTAAAGAAAATATTGAACAAGAAATGTATCAAAGACTACTTTTGATGGGATTAGCGGCTCTTATAATAGCGAAGGAGGGGGACAATCCTTTTCGATGGAGGCAATCGCTGATTCAGTAAGTGTCTCGAAAAGTTTTTAGTTAATTTTAAAGCAATATCTACCCGCCCATGAACTTTTTCCAACATTTCTGTTAAGTTTCCATTACTATCGTGATTTTGGTTCAGTAACCAAATTATTTTGGGCCAATTTGTTATCAATTTGATTGATTGTGGGAGTGAGCGAGGTCCGAGATACCGGTAATGGCTTGGTAATGTGCATTTCGGGCAGTCATGAACCGATCGCCGGTCCGCTCTATACTGCTGTTGATGCTCGGCATTTGCAGCACGGCACAGGTAGAGTCCCACCACATACTCGGCCTCTTTGTCAATGTGCATCGCTCCCAGCTGCTGGTGCACATGGCCGTGGCTCGTGCTCTGCTGCAACGCGGTCATCAGCTGACTGTGGTCACCACGCTGCCCTTGGCGGAAGTTCAACTGCAGGGCAATGTCACACACATTGTGGTGCCATGGGAACAGCCAGTGGATGAGGTTCAACCGGGATCCACTTCGGACTGGCTGCTGCGCTTGCAGCGAATGTTCAATCGCTTGGAGCAGTCGGGGGATCTGCTCGATCAGCCTGCCTGGAAAGATTTCCTGAAGCTGTCACCCAAACCCCACTTTGATCTGTTACTTTTGGGCTACCATTTCAATGATCATCTTCTGGGCGTGGCTGCGCATTTCAATTGTCCAACGGTCATAGTCTCCACCCAGCAACCCATTGGATTTGTCAACAGTCTCATGGGCAATCCAGAGGAGCGCTGGTATGTGCCTCAGCCATATGACAGTCGCCAGCGCAGTGGAATCTCTGCCTGGCTCTTTGGAGTGTGGGAAAAGCTAATGGAAATGGTGGCGAGAAGGGTTCTGCAAAAGATTTACAGGTGAGCATGACTGACATACAATTCTACACCTCAGAGTGCAATATTTCCTTTTAGTTTACACTTTCCCGAGCCGCATTATCCGCCCTTGGAGACGATGCGTCGATCTGTTGTCTTGGCTCTGAATAATCATCACATGATCAGCGAGGGACCCATTGCTCCGCTTTTGCCCAGCATGATTGATATGGGAGGAATACTCTTGGAGCAAAAGTTGAATGAAACGTTGCCAGCGATTGCGCGGAATCGTTCGCTCATCATCTTCAGTTTGGGCACTCGCTTTAGTTGGCAAAGATCCCCTGGGCATTTGGTTGAGACGTTTACTGAGGCGTTTGCTCAATTTCCCGACTATGACATCTATTGGACATACGATGGCCCCAATGCCAGTGAAATGATGTCATATCATTCCCATCTAAAGCTGGCCAAATGGTGGCCCCAGCGGCACTTGCTGGGCCAGCAGCAGGCGCGCCTCTTCATCACACACGGCGGCAAGGGCAGCGTCACCGAAGCGCTGTATTATGGTGTGCCCATGTTGGGTCTACCCCTGCTGGGCGATCAACGATCCAATCTGCAAAAGATGGAAGCCAAAGGCTGGGGTTTGACGTTGTCCATGCAGAATGTCAGCCACGTGGAGCTGGCCAAAGCCATGGGGCGAATTCTGAGCGATTCCCATTATTCCGCAAGCATTTCGACAGCTTCCCATCTCTATCGCGATCGTCCGATGAGTGCGAGCGATGTGGCCACCTACTGGCTGGAGTATGTCGTACGCCACAGGGGTGCCAAGCATCTGTACAGTCCCGCACGGCAGCTCAACTTTGTGCAGTACCACTCACTCGATGTCTATGCGTTGGTCTATGGTGGATTGTTGCTGCTAATTGGAATCTTTAGCAGAATAAACCAATGGGGATTTCTGTGACTAGAAGTATCGTTTAATTGAATACAGATACACGCGGTAAATAGCTTAAGGTATGAACTTAGTCGAAGGTATCTTAAGTACACTGAATGTTAATTGCAAATACTTCTGAACGGAACTTGAATATTCTTCTCCTCTTGCTTAGTTTTAGGTCGATAGTAAATATGCATTAATCGTAAGCTTTTATAAGTAATATTTAGTGTATACACAGTTCTGGAGTGCTTTCGGTTAAGTGGCGACGGCACTCGCTGGAGGGCGGTAGGCTCCAGGGCGCTTCAGCTTAGCCCTTGCCCCACTGCAGCTTTGTCTGCTGCTTCGTCTGATGCACTGAGCCCGGACGTGGGCAGCGTCCGTTTTTCACATCATAGAGGCCATAGTTGCAGATCGGTTGACTGCTCTCCCGATGCTGTATGCGACTAAGAAAAAGAGAGAGAGAGAGAAAGTCAAGGAAAAGTATTTTAAACCCTAATGTCGAGCAACTCACATTCGGTCATTCATGGCGAAGCCTTCCTCGCCGTTCTTTAACCTCTGGCACGCCGCATCGTTGAGATGGCAATCGCAGCGGCAGTGCAGCAACACCTCGCTAGCTCCACTTCCCCGCCAGCTAAAGTCCTTAAAGTGCTTGGGACACTGGCACTGGGTGCTGCGCTTGCGACGTCTCATATTCTGCACACATTCGCATTCGGTGTGATTGACCATTGGGATCATTCTGCCACGATTGTTCAGCATGAAAGGCAGCTCCACTGTGACGTTTTTCTTCACGGAACAGATCTCCCCATCCCGACAACAGCCAGTGGAACTGTCGCAACGATGGAGTATCGTGGCTCGAGGATAATACTGTATATTTGTCTCTCCAATCATGTAGATGACTTGGGCCTTGGGTACCCTGCATTCCGCTTCTCTGTTCACCCGGTTGTTGTGAGCTCTGGCCAGTAGGATGAATGTAGCTGCACAGGGAAGTAAAGGGAAATTTGATGTGAAAGGATGTGCGGTTATCCATTCGCTTATGGGAACTTTATGAGCTAACCAACTTCATTCGTAAATGTCTGACCAAAAACCGCCTTTAAATATAGGTCGAGCATCCATAACAATTCCGGAAATACATTTTTTTAGTTGGTCAATAATCGTTTTTACATTTTTAACTGATTTTCACTGATATAACCTGTTCTTCAGCTAATTGTTTAATATCCCATTAGGGTTCTGCTCGTCTCAGCAGTTCACTAAACTGGCATTTTCAATGCCGTTCGCATGATTTCACTCTGCCGCTTTTGATCGCCCATTGACGTTTCTCTGCTTTAAATCTGAATCTTATTTTAGCGATTTGAATTCTCTGTATTGATCGACTGGTGCAGCCTGCTTCTTTATGGCCTTTGCTCAAGTTTACCGTTCCTGCCGGCCTGTGGTGTTTCTCTCTCATTTTTTACTGTCTCTCGCACTATAAAAATTGTCTGAGCAAATCTGCAAGCGGAATTCTTTTGTGTACGCTCTAAGAGGGTAGCGTGAATGTGGCATGATGAGGTTTGCAATTTCAAATCTAAATTTGATTTAAACACTAACAAAAACGACCATAGTAAAAGCAATCGTTCAGGGTACTCCAAGCTTCGGCTTTCTTGGTTGTCCAGCTCCTATTGGAGCCATAAAGTTACGGAAGCAAATCAAAGAACATAGTGGCGGGGTGCCTCGTGGAGTTGGCAGACCACCCAGTGGGCAGCTAATCCCAGTCCAAGTCCCCCAGTTCCTCGCTCGAATCACCTACATGGAGAACAACTTTCAAAGCATTTCGGCTCCTTGGGTGGCTGAGGGGCAGCCCAGAAGCTAGGAGCCAGAACCCAGACACAGAACCAGCTGCAGCCATATGCAATTTTCATAAACGCTTCATGATTGAATCATCAACTTAACGAGTGCGCTGAGGGGGGTCGCAAGAGCTGGAATGGGAGCTAGTTTTAGTAGGTGAGAGCGAGAGGTGGCGTTGGGGAATCTCTAGAGCAAGGAAAGGGGCGGCGGCTGCGATGGTTGAATGCCTCAGACTCAATGGCTGGGTCGGCGTCATCCACAACAGCCACATGAATAATTCAAGGGGCCCTATCTCAACAAGCTTCAAGGACTGAAAATAGAGAGGCGATGGAGGAGCAAGGGTTGAGTGTGGCACAGAGTGTGTGAGAGAAGGAGAGCGCGGGGTTCGCTGCAACGTGACCGATGCTGTTGTGGAGCTTTCCCCTGTTCTGGTTGGACTGGTCTGCTGCTGGTCTGGTTTTGCCTTTGAACTTGCCATGGCATTGCCCATGAAAATGTGGGGCGACCCTGGCAGAGCAGAGGAAGGAGAGTGCGGGGACATTGTGGGAAACTCTGGGAAATTACCATAGTTTTGCCATGGCCAGCAGCTGGGGCAGCTGAGCCTGGCCAATAAAGTCATTTTGAGTGCCCTGCCAAATGTTACACATCATTTAATCAAGGCAAAAAACTTTCCAAATGGAACGCAGGGAGAACACGACAAACGATGAGTTTGCAATGCATATGGAAGATTCCATTGGGGGAACTGCAACCAGAAAATGCAACTGCAAAATGCAAGCTGAAAATGTAAGCAGAAAAGTCGAGCAGGAAGGAATTTGCTATCTATATTTGAAAGGAGATGAAGCAGAAAATCGAGACGTTTATTAGGTATAAATTTGAAATATTTATTATTCTCTAATGGAATTTGCAGCTGAGTTAAGCCTAAAGCTAGCGGAAGCTGAAATTTAAATTAATAAAATGGATTGAGCAAAGGATTTGGAGGCCTTAGAAGAAGCATTTAGAATGGTATCTAAAAGGACATTAATTAGCATCCAAACAGTACAAGTATTCTCCATCCCCACAGTATATAATATTAATTCGTGTCACTCTTTTGGAGTCTTCCCTTTCAACAAGGGAAACTCCCGTTCTTTGAAGTTGAGAGATCTTTATTGGCAGTAAAAAGAAGACCTGATCAAGTCAGTTGACTTACTTCAACAATGTTTACTTTGGAGCTCCTGTACTGAAATAAATACGCAGAAGTAAACATCGAAGGGAAAAGTCAACCAGAGACGCTCACAGCAAAAATGAAAGCAAGAGGGGGGTACAAACTTACGATTTATTGAACTTTATTTAAGACATGGCAACTCGAGGGGCAAATCTTTGGAAATATAGGATCTGCTTATCTAAAAAATATCTATCAAACCTCACTGTGCATGTTTTTTGAGTAAATTCTCAACATCATTTTCGCCCCCCATCGTGTCTGCGCACGCCACTGGCCAAAAGTGATGTGCAAATATTCGATAACGGTGGATAAACACAACTCAAGGAAGCCAATCTGTGGAAGCCTCCAACTGTCAACTTATTTTGCTGCTAATGCGAACAGCCAACGAGCAATGTGATAAGAAAATTGTTGCATCATTATGCAGCCAAGAGCAAACCACTTGAACAGCATTCACAATATCCGATAGTCGCAAATTCATTGACAATTTCCCAGGCTTAGTGACACACTTTCCATGGGGCTTGACATTGGAGACCAGCTACTGCTCCTCCTTTTACTTCTGCTTCTCCTTCTCCTTCCCATTCCCATTGCCATCCTCTGTTGCTGCTGTCCACATGCTCTTAACGGTTTTCCAAACACACAATTTTCGCGCCCATTAAACGGCGACAATTTTCCACTCGAATGCAAATGGTAAATGAGACAGACAGGGCGAAAGAAAGATAAAAAGATATTGAGACAGAGGCTTCAGCCCCCGAGGAGAGCCCGAGCTCACATTTCATTGTCATTGTCTCTCGGTCTAAGGCTTGTGCGGTTGTGCGGTTGTGGTAATTGTGGTTGTTGCTGCCAGTAGTAGCTGTTGGCATTACGCTTGTAATGAAGTAATTGGTAAGATCTATGCGAGACTTGAATTCCCCAAAAAGCAGCAGCAGCAACAGCTACATGCAATCAACAGCAGAGACCAGGGGAAGTGGGGGAGGAGTGAGTGTGGTTAACAAGGCAACTCTCCTTTTAATTGCGAAACGAAAGTGCAGATGCATCACGGTGCAAGTAGAGGAGAGGAGTAGAGAGAAGCAGTGAGAAAATAACCCAAGGGGTATTAGTTATACCATAAACACATATGCACATAAATATGAAAGAAAACTGGCAGAATTTGAGTCTTCTTTGAGCAAATTGTAGCCATAGATGGATCGATGTTTTATGCAATTCAAATAAATATCTAGAGGATGTAATGGATAGATCATCCTTAAAACTAAGAAAGAAACATGACAAACTTCTACCCTTTATTCCCGTCAGTGTATTAAAACCCGCGACTTGCTCTTCCCTTTTTAGTTGTGTTCCTCTTAAAGGGGAATTTGCACTCATTTGTTTGGTTCCGAGCCTCAGTCGCTGGCATTGAGAAAGCAAAGTCTGACTTGTGACCTTCTGTGTCGTTTGGGTGCCTCGACGCGTAGTTTCTGCTGCTGGTTTTCCATCATCCACAGCAGAGAGGAGTCACGTGCCAAAGGATAAAACAGTCATTTTCATTTCCATTGCCATAAATAACGACTGGGATTGTGCCGGGTCGACTGCTCTACACATACATAGTAGGAATATATTTATCTTTGGGTCTGGGTCTGGGTCTGGTCGTTCTCTGGCACATCAAACACCCAACAGTTTCATTCTGTTCTATGCCATTTGGTATTGTACGAATGTCTGTGTGGGCTTCCCCCCCTTTCTTTTCGCTGAAAACATTTGCTTAGCACATTTTTTATGGCCAGAACGTGATCATCATAGGCGGTCGGGCGGGCTTCAGTGCTACATTCATCTATTTGCAGCACAATTACCACAGCCCAGAAGGCCATAGAGACATCGTTCGACCTTATGTGAGACGGCATTTAATGGCCTTTAATAATGAACCCCCCTGAATGACTACTCACTGTGCTTGATCTCCTTCTCCTCGTAGGCCTGCCGGGATGCCAGCACCCTGCTTTGTGTTCCCAATTTCTGCTCCTTCTCTGCCGTGACACTGCCTGGCGCCTGATCGGATGGATAGTCCTACATTAAAAAAAGAGAAGAAAACAAGAAAAACCATTGAAAAGTGATATGGAAATGCACAAATCGAGCATATGGCACGCTCTCGTTTTTTGCCACACACTCCATGTGCGGGTGTGTCTGTTTCGGTTTTATTTCGGTGTTTTATTCGTTGTTGTTTTGTAGCCACGTAACTCCATTGCACATTCTGTATGTTGAGGCTTTCATTATTATTGCACTATGGCACAAAAATAAGTCTGCAAGCTAATAAATTGGATTGTAAATTGGCTAGGGGGCCAACCATGCTGATGACACCATGCTGAAATGTTTGAATTGCAATCTTTTATTTACATTTTTTCTGGGGGACTGCTCTTAAATTTCCATCTTGCTTGAAAGCTGTGAAACATTACTCTAATTGCAGTTGACTAAGGGTTCAGTTTTTAGTGGTGGATTCATAGTTAAGTATTAGTTTTTAAATGCGAGAGTTTTCCATAGAAACATTCATTTAAGTTATTCCAAAGACTGACTCATCAGCTGGGCTTGGATGGTTGAGAAGTACATTGATGGTGTCTCACACATCTATTCTTTTTGCCTCTCTTTGTGCCACCATTAATCATGAATTAAATTACAATTTCTTGTGAAATAATCTAAAACGTGCGTCAGTATATCTTGTGACATAATATCCCAATTTTGTTTGCAATTCTTGTGATGAAATATGAAAATTGGCTTGTGCCAAATCAGCGAATCTTTTGTGCTAATTTGTTGAGGGGAAAATGTGAAAGTGCATTATGCTAAAAACATTATACAATGTATAATGCTGACTGTATGGTTCCCCTCGCCTGCCTGCCCCTTGGAGTATGCAACGAGAGCTTTAGCCCGTTCTTGCTTCAACTTTATTTTATCCGGTGTTTGGCTTTGTTTTTGTGGCAAGTGAAAAAAAATTAAATTAAATTTATGCATTTTGATTTATGCTGGCAGGTTGCACAGCTAGGCAGGCGGGCAGCTATTCATGTGGCAGGTAGTCATGTACATGTGTGCGGTATGTGGCAGCTTTTTATAAATATATATCTGAGTGTGTGGCGGCTATTCATGGCAGTGCCTGTGTGTGTTCAGCTTGCTATACGCAGCAATTTTGATTTATTTAACAGATTTTTAACACGCTTTACACACACACCTGAGAGCACCTGAAAAGCTATCACTTACAGCTCAAAGAGCAACAGAGGAACCCACAGCAGAAGCAGCGCCAGCAAGGGGGAGAAAACTTTTACCATTTACATTGCCACATATCGATTTTCAACAAAAGGATTCTCTGCTGCACGGAGAGGGCCCAGCCCCCGATTGACATGAAAACTAACGACATGCATATAAGTGATACATAATGCGACAACTGGGTGTAATAAATGAAGTGTGCAAGGAAGAAAAATGACACCAGAAGGAGTAGAAAGCAGGCAGGAGCAGGCAGGAGCAGGCAGGGATACAACATTCCTTTAGCCACCAAAGCGTTAAGTGAAATGGCCAGCGAAATGGAAAGCTTCTGCGGCGGGCTACTCCCGGTAAATTGAAGGTTACGCCAAGGCAGTTAATGGCACTCAATTCCACTCCCAAAACTACGATATTTCTCTCACACAGAAATATTCTACGTACACAGAATGTGCGTAGGGATTTCAGTCTCCAACATGTTTATTTCTTATTTAAATGAACTGCAGATTCAAGTATTTTATTGGTTTCGATTTCCTGTGCATTTGATTCATGTTCTCGGCTTCCCGCACAACTATTTTAATTGCATTTTCATCTGCTGTATGAAGTTTAGTTTAGATAGATTTCCGAATGTTTCCGAAAGATATCAATTTGAGTTTTCATTATTATATTCCCTACTATTATGCAAAAGTTTGCATCTATAAATATACCTTAAATATTAGTTACCAAAGTAGTTCCCTTACTGCAATTATTCCACGTTTATTTTCCGACTAATATCGTCTCATATCTTACCATTCTCTCAGCTTCTTTAATAACTAACTCATCCATCTACTTTCCGAGTAATTCTCAACCCATCAAAGGCAACACCTCGACCATTGCTGGCGTTTTATAACCAGTTCTGCTTAAGCTTCATTACGCATGCTCAGCCATGACAGGGCCATTCCATCCCATCCCATCCCATACCAGGTTGCCAGAACCCGACTCCGACTTCGACTCCAACTCTGAATCCAGCGCCTCCCTGCATTACCATCAATCTGCAGTGCCAATCCCAGGAGCAGGAACCGGAGCTCCATACCGAGGGTGGGGGGCCATGGCTGGAACTCAGATGAATGAACACAAACACACACACACACAGCAGAGAGGGAGCAAAAAAAAACCCATTAAGTGTCTGCTGGGTTGACAGTATTCGGGAAAACAGTTGGTGCTCTGTTAGGCCCCGGCCTGAAACCTACAGAACAATATAAAAAAATGAAACAAACTTCATTTGCATTTGCATTTGCCTCTTGTGTTCTGCTCGAGCGTTTGAAGGATGCCCTGGACTGGCGGACTGGCGGACTGGCGGACTCTGTGTGGCAGTTTCTTTATTATTATTTTTTTTGTTGGGTTTTTTTTTTTCACCTTTTTGTTTAGCCTCAATTGGGATTCGTGGCGTGGGTGTGACTGGTGTTTGGTATTTTACGAGCCAGAAGGCAACTGCGACAACAATAATAAAGAGCCTGTCGTGGGTTTATTTGCAATCAAAAGAGTTATGAGCCAAATGCAAACAGCGCACCCAGAACGCACTGTTTTATTGTCCTGTTAGCCTGTATCCCCATTCTCCTGCCTTTCTCAATATAAAAAAGAGATCCGACCTCTCAAAGGCGAGGTTCAGTGCTTAGAGGTGTTGGCCCTGGTCAAGCTGTGGCCCCCATTTGAAGTTCTCATTGTAAACTGCGTGAATGGGCCAAATGTGAGTAAGACACAGATGCTACATTTCACATTTCGACTGAGGGATACCTACTAAACGGGAAGATACTTCACACTCTGCAGGGTACACCAAAAGCAGTGGCACAAATAGTCTGGCCTGCAAATTTGCCAACAACTGTGTAAATAAACAAATGGCACGGGGTGTCGGTGGAAGGGACAGCAAAGTTCAGATAGATAGCTAGACAGGGGAAGCGCCGAGACGAGTACAATTCAATATTTGTTTATGCCAAAGAGCGCACAATAAACAGGGCCAACTAAATATATGCGACGCTGACTCAGAAGCCCTCTCTGAATGGGGAAGTAGATTCCATCCCAGATTCCCTTTTGCTTAATTAGAATTCCAAGCCGAAACTGGGGTATGATGAAAGTTCTGGCACATTAGAGCCCATGGAAAAATGCGTAGAAGAAAGCCTTTCACTGTCTTTTGCGTGAAGATATTTGTGTTCTCGGGAGATGTTATCTTTGTGAATCTGTGATAGTTCTTTTGTGGCTATTGCTAAAGTGCAGCTTGTAAGATTTTGTTGAAGCATTTGGGGTGATCTTTGGGTGGTTTTGGTTTGTTTTAATTCAGTTAAAATGCAATAAAATCTTCTACACATATGTATGTATCTTTGGAAACAGCACAAACAATACTTTATTGTATTTATTCCACTTTCGTTTCGATTGCTAAACCCACTCCATGGATATTCTTTCCCTCGGGGCATCCCCAGTTCGTATTAACACACTCAAAGCCATTTCTCTCTCTGTGTTTCAAAGGCCTTTTTTCATTCTGTTTTCTTAATTTGTGTAGAATGCAAAATGCTGCAATTTGGCTAAAAGCTAAACAGAGAAAAGCGCAGCAGCAGCAGCAGCGTCGTGCAGTGTTTTGGAAAAATGTTGGGCAGTTCCCCGCTCTCCCGCTCTCCCGCTCTGCCGCTCTCTCTCGATATTTCTCATTTTAGAAATTGTAAACATGGCCCCCAGGCCTGCCCAGACACTAGGAATGATATAGAGGGTTAGGCTCTGGGCTGCCTGACAGAAAGAGTCGGCCACATGGCGTATGCTTAATGCGCGATGAGTTTTGCCTGCCGCTCATTGTGCCCGCCCCGCCGAGTAAGTATATTTCAGTGCTGCTGCTTGTGTTTCTCTTAACATTTAACATTTTGCTTGTCATAAAAGTGCCAATTAGGGGGCTGCTCTGGCAATTTGGCCATAGACTTAAGTAATTAAAACTAGGCAACACTTTGCATACCCGTACCCGTAGTGCTTGGTGCTTTTTATTTCTTAATTGAAACTGCACTCGCAGTTCGAGAAAAAGCCCATGCCATTTCATACATTTTAAAGAAAGAGCTCGACTTTTCGGCTCTTGTAAGATGCTTTTTAATTTTAACGAGCGAATGGATACCAGAGCAACCCTCTGGTTTTGGCTTTGGCTCTCCTTTCTGGCTTGCTGCCTGCATGGTCCATGGTCCATGGTCCACGGTTTATTATGACAATTTTATATTTGTTTGCTTTTTCGGTGAATGCGAAAACGAAAGCAGCTGTCGAGTGGGATAAAAGAAAGCAGCAACAGCAGCAGCCCCATTACCATCACCAAAGACGCCGCCTTTGGCTCCATAAAAGGCAACATTTGGCCATGCCACACGGGTCGACCCGTGCATCCATCCAATGTCAATGACAGACGACTGGAGCTGGTGCTGCCTGGTGCTGTCTGAGAGGCAGAACAGGCAGAAGAAGCTGCTGAAACAGCTGAAATAGCTGGGGCGCCTCCTTCCAATTAAGTTGCGGGCATCACCAAAACTTGCAGCAGCAACATGAACATGCCGGAAATGTAGAGAGCACCGCGATCCCATCTTCATCATCATCATTCTCATCATCATCGGCGTCATCAGCATTGAGGGATCGATAGGCAGCGGCGATCACATTGACTGATTGCCAGTCGAGACATCAAATTGAAGTCTGCGGATAGAGTTGGATAGAGAACATGTCTGGGGGCCAAGGAGTGCCGGTCTACGGGGGGGGGGGGGGGGGGGGGGGGGGGGGGGGGGGGGGGACTGCTGCAACTCTTCTAATTGCAACGCCCACACGCACTGAGAGCGAGAGAGATTGCCTAAGAGATTGAAACGTTCCGCGTGTGCCAGTCCTGTCTCTGGCTTGCTCTGCTCCGATATGATATGATCTGATCTGGTCTGGTCTGGTCTGGTCTTGTCTCGGCACTGAGGTCTGTCCAGGACTGGTCTAGATTGACTTTTCCAATTTGTTTGCATTTATCATTTAGCGTTGCCCTGACTTTTGCTACAGCAACTAAGGCTATGGGTGGGTTTTTGTGCTAACTTTGGGATGGGTTCTTTTGGTTTTGTTTTACATTTAATATAGTTTCAAATGAGGTTTGTTTTATTAGGCATCCAATTTATTCAGAAGAAGGTTTCAGTTCCCAATCAGAATTCTTTCAGTCCCGAAAACACTTTCAAATACATAAATTCCGATTTCTGCTTCCATATTCCTCCAGCAGTAATCCATCAATCAAGCATTAAGTCGTTGCGCTTCTTACAAAATATTTCAAACAGAAATCACACCTAAATCTGCACAGAAAATTCTTGGAACTACTTTCGTGCTCCATCATCTGAGAGAAAATCCCGCATTAAATATAGAACAAAGGGATTTCTATGATTTATGTGGAAAGACATGGTATGGTATGCTGTGAGTGTATTCAAAACTTCGTCTTGGCCATGATTTATATTTGTTGTTGGCTTTTAATTGCGTGACTGTTTGGCGCACGGCTCTCGTTTAATGGCCAACAAGTCGGTCGGCTGGCGATCAATCAGGCAGCAGTTCAGTTCACACAGTCCCCACAGTCTGGGCGAGTAAATTATGGCCAAGACCACCGAAATATGCCAAAAAGTGAACTCTTTAGAGCCGTTTTAAGTTTATTTATTGTACGCGCAGGCGACAAGTTCCCCTACACATTCCGAACAGAAATTCCTTTGGCTGCTGCTGCGTCTGGCCCAACACTTTCCCCTCGAGAGAGAAATTAAAAATATAAAACTTTATAGATTTGCCATTTAAACTTAAGGCGCTTCCGCATTATATATTTTAAGATTCGGCTGGGCTATAAATCATGACCAGATCGTACCAGATTTAAGAGAGGCAAAACCCGAAACCACTTTGAGCGGTTTGCTATTATGTCATAAGCCGATTTGCCTGTCATTAGTGCCAGAAAGCGCCCCACATTAGGATTGCCAATAAATCAAAATTACCCCTAGACATATCTACGCACTAGCCAAAACATACGAACATTCCCCCGTAAATATGTACAGCTGGATATGTGTGTATATCGATGTGGCAATGGATTTCGTCTCTCAACAGAGTGTGGCAATCGGCAGGTCAAGATTTTTATAGTTGCCGATTGGAGAACATTTTGTTTATTGCATTTTAAGTAGAAAGCCCAACGAAAGTGAAAGTGAGAGATTTGTGTGTATGGAATGGGATTCCCAGAAAGTACATGCTTCAAAATTGTTCAGGCAGAACGGGTTCATTGGCTGAAATTATCTTTGGCCCTCGATGTACGAATTTCCTCTTTGATTTAATATTTTGTCTACAATTAAAGAACTGTTGTCAATCTGCTCCAGGTATTCGTATTATATTCCACTTCCCAGGGAATGCAACTTTTGAATGAAACTATAATTTATGGGTTATTAAATTCCGAGAGTCCCCCAGGCGAATGTTTGATGAACTTTCAATCATTGCGCGAGTCTTATCGCGAGTCTGTTTACAAGTATTCATCCTCTAGTGGGATTATTGTGGAAGCTCTCTGTATTTGCCTCAGATAACCTCCTTCCATTCCCATTCCCATTCCCGTTCCCGTTTCCATTCTCATTCCGTTGAAGATAAACGGCATTTTGTAGTCATTCAACTATAGAAATGATACAGTTCTGTATGCGCCAAGATGCTAATGACTAGATCGGAGTCTGATTTCTCCATATATATTTGTATATATTTTGCATTTTAATGACCTTGTGCAAAGTGCCCGATGATTAATTGATGAACATATGTACACATGCTACAGATAAGTAGTACTACCAATGCACGCTGTTTTATTAGTGACCCATTAGTATTTCATGGAGAGCTCTCGCAACTACAGGCTGGCAAAAAGTTCTGCCGGCGAGAGATAACCTTTCGGCGCTGCAACTTTCGGGGTCTCTGATTGGAAATTCCAAGCATTACAGATGTTGAGGTTATGGGCAAAGCGTTTCTCCCCCCTCGGCACTCACCCCTCCTCGCACCGTTATGTGCAGTGCAGTTATGCGCACGGGGAATGCGTTGGCAAACAAACCGGTAAAAAGGAGAATAAACAGAGAATCAGAACAGAGAGAGAAACGGAATGAAAACGGATTGCGGGTGGGGGACACTAAAGGTGTGTGTGGGTGTGGTACGGTGGAATGATATGTAAAAGTGTGTGTGTGTGTGGGTTGGAATATGAAATATTCGGAGGAGGACAAGTGCAGAGATATTGAGTGGCAAGGCAAAGGTTCCCCAAGGCACGTTTGGGCGAGTGTGTGTCTGTGCATGCCAAAGGACAGAGAAATATTATATTAAATTCCCTTCTCAAAAGGTCAGAGGATGAGGGTAAAAGCTGCCTTGTGGTAAGGTTGCATGCAGGTAATTTCATGACCACAGACCATAAGCTTTTTATACCGCCTGACTGCAACTGGTCGCCTCATACCCACTGGCACGTGATTCTCCCTGCACTCAGCTGACACACATGGGGACATGCTGCTCCTCCGCACATTGCCACACGGTGCCTGGCATTTATGAACGCTTATTAAATCAGCTTTGGCATTGAATGCCACACATATGTATGTACATAGTTGCGTGTGCAACAGATAAGAGGAGCAGACAGCGGCAAACTAATGGAACTGCAATATAATCAACTCGAACAAGATGTCAGTCGCGTCAAAATATATGCACTACATAGATTGGCGGGGAATTCCAGAGTGTTTCCAGCATTACTTGTTGGGTGTTTGCAGAGGGTTGGTTTGTGAGAACTAATTATAATTATTCCTGTTCATTTCTGAAATTTGACATGACATCAGTTCCCCTGCTGAAGAGATCGTTTATTTCCATTACTTATGTATAAATTTACAATGCAACAATTAAAAGTGACTCATTTCTTGGCAATCAGATCACATTTACTACCATCTCAATTATGAGTAATCAATATTCATTGTTGTACAATCGATTCCGCTGTAAGGGCAGTTGCAGCTTGTCGCATCAATGAGGGCAATTATTGATGGCCCACCAGCATAACGGAGCCCTTTCTGTGATTTGATATTCCTTTAGTTTCCCCTCACTGAACGTGTCTCTTCGTCTTCTTTCTCTCTGTCTCTGTTTTGCGTGTGGCGATCGTTGACCAGCTGCTGTCGGCCCTGGAACATAAAAGTCACATCGGAGACAGGTTCTCTGCCTTCCCTCCTTGGCACGACATTGGGAGCGGCTTTAACTGGCCCAATTACAGGCAGGAAAGTGAAACTGATGGCAACAATTGTTGCTTGAGGAGGAACATATACGTATAACGTATTGGCTACCGATCTGAGGTAGGCAGAGCCAAATTGGCTTGTTAACCAAATTGTTGGCTCTTACCTGCCGCAACACGTTTCATAATTGCGAACGGAACCCTTTTCCCAGTATCCACAGCATTGTGTAACTGCTTCTTAATGGGTGGGCTCCTCCATGCCGAGTGCCTCTCTGTGATCAGTGATCAGTGATCAGTGATCAGTTATCAGTGCTCAAGATCAGGCTGGATGGTAGGCCCAGGGTTAGTCACTCACTCGAGTCAATCGCACTGGTTCGTGCGTTCGTTCACGCCCCGAGCGAGGTTCAAGGTGAGGCATCTCATTCCGATTCTAATGCGCAAACAACTCGCGCAGACACTCGAAACTTGTCCCACACATAGGGTGGATTAAGCAGTTGGTGCGAGCGGATTTATTTACATATCTACTTGTATTCAGAACTCTACACACAAATCTTCTGTCCACCCTCGTTGCATGAGAGCGAGCGAACAAATATTTAGCCATAACTCCAAACACACACACACACACACACACACACACCCAGTGGGCTTGCTCGCCAGAGGGACAATAATAATAAAAGATATAGTAAGATCCACGCTGGAGGCAGAGTCAACAAGCATCTTGGGTAGGAGGATATTTTTTTACGACTTCCACGAAGCCTTTCTCGCTCCCCACCTCTGTGTGTGGGTTCGGCAAACTTACCTCATCAAAGTCGGTGCTCGAGCCATCCACTTGATTATAATTATCATGCGGATGCCGTGGCACGCGCTTGTGGGACCCCATCAAGAGACCCTCGTCCCACTCATCCTCCTCCTGGTCCTGGTAGTAGCCGTAGGGTTCTGTATCACTGCTCCTTACCGGTGTCGAGGTCGGATACATGGTGGGCCTGATGTACTTGTAGATGACAGCGTCTTTCGCGGTCACATTTCGCACGTCACGATAATTATTATCCGGCAGATTGAACGACCAAGACCGGTGATAGTTGGCCCCGTCCGTCAGGGCAAAGCCGACGATTAGCGGAATGACCAAGTACATTTCAATATGTTTCAACATTTTCTATTTACTTTGCAATATTTCTGTGTATTTCAATTCAATTGGACATTTAATTTATGCCTCTTTATATTTGCGTTTGCACTTTGACACTTTTCTGTAAATTATATGAATAAAAAAACGAATTGGATTAAATGTGGAATTCATTGAATTCTGATTAAATAGAATCCGCGGGCACAAAAATATTATTTCTGCTAATTGATTTGTGTTTTGGTTTCACTCCGCCTCACTCCATGTCGATTATGTACTACTTCGCGGCTTGTCACAACATTTGTTAAAGAGTTTACTCAATTTCAACAAGTTGCTTAAATATTTCGGCACACATCCAAATATTTATATATTTTTTTGGCACACGCCTTCGCTTTTCGCGCACAGCTGCTGAGTCTCAACGGGTTTGTCGGTTATTTGCAAATGGAAACACTAGAAAAGCGATTTTTTCAATCGCTGTTTTTTATTTATAAATAATTTGTTTGCTGTCTTGTCTGCTCTTTGCTTAATGAAATAAATTCGCGTCGAGTGGCTAGCTGGCAACAATTTCAAGATTTTTTCTTGGGCCTACCTAAACGAAGAATTTCGGGATGAGTCGTCCATGCGAATATCTGTGAGTGTGGATTGTTGCTAATCGCAGCAAAAATGTATAAAGAGTCGGAAAAGAATGAAAGTGACGTGTTCCTTCAATAATTTTTAAGGCCTATTGAAACAAAGGGAATGCCCAAAAAAAGGAAACTTTAAACTGTTGTTCCAAGAGAATTAAAAATGTTCCAACTAATTGTTTCAAATTCGCTCGTTTTATTGCAACTGCAATTGCAATTGCAATTGCATTCCCTCCTATATTTGCACTAAATTGTTGTATTTCATTAAAGAACTTCTCCCGTTTGCTTAAGAACATTTACATTATATTGTTAAAGCGACTGAATATTTAATCACACTGAATTATTTCACACTTTCAATTTACATGCAATTACAGCTTCCATATTTATGATTTTGAATTGGATTGCAAACATACATTTGTGCACCTTATTTACTGCCACACATATTGAAGATTAAACACTTTTGTTAATGATATTTTGAGATTTTGTATTGGAGATTCTGTGAACAAGGAACACCGATCCGATCCGATCCGATCCGACTCGATCTGTTACGATACTAAAATGATGATGTTGACGCTCCAACTGTTGCCGGCAAACTCAACGCGTTCTGCCGATTGGCAGCCGCCTATATCCCCAAAGCTCCCCAAGTGGCCTCTCTCTCTCTCTCTCTGTCTCTCTTTCGCATTGCTCCCGATCGCACACGATTGCTGCTGTCTCGTGCGTTTGCTCTCTTTCACTCTCTGCCTCTCTGTGTAAATGAGATGCTTGCCGGAGCGCTTGTGGAGCTGTGCTTTCTTTTTCCCCATGCACTACTTGGCACTTCTGTTTTCCTCTCTTTGGGAATTCTCTTAAGTGCGTGAATCATTTTGGGGCTTTGGTCTGATTCCAATAAGAACGAAATTCGATCTGCAGTTTCTGTGAGGGCCTTCAACTGGATGCAAATTGTATGACTCACGTGGGAACTATTCTTATTATGTGTGAAATTATATGCAGCAATTACTAATTACTAAATCTGATATGATATCACAGACTCAGAAAAGATTCTTCAATTTTCTAGCAATCGATTCGTTGTCAATTTTGCTAAAGCAATAAAACAATTAAATTCTTCCAGGCAATTGCATGCTAAAAGATCTTTCACGGGGAATCCACTTTAAGGAAAATGTTACTCAGAAAGAATTCTTGTGAAGTTCCCAGAAAACAAATGACTAATATTAGAGCCATATTTAAATACGGAGCTACTTACTATAGGGTTTCCTTAGATCCTCTTGCTCTCTTAGTTTCCTGATAAACCTGTCAGCGATAAATCATTATTTTGGCTCCACTTATTAATAATTATTTATATTTGCTTATCAATCTCGTGCTGCATGTGATTCATGCTGGCAGACATCAAAGATGGCAACTACTTTCGATTTTTGCTTTAATCTTTAATTTTTTTGTACTTCTTACAACTTATAAATAGAAATGAGAATATCGTATAATGTTACCCTTACGTTAGAATGCTCTTGCCTTTGCTCTTGCTCTTCTCACGTCTTTCTCTCTCACTCGTCTTCTCACTTGTGAGTTCACTCTTTCCCTGTCGCCTACTCCTCATGTCACTGTGGCCATTAAAGTCCAATTACAAGAATGCTTATCGGCGTAAGACGCCAGCCCATGGCTGGGGGGGGGATGGTTGGATGTGGCTCTGGTGCGAAGCTTTCTGCTATTTTTGCTACTTTCAGTTGGTGGCTGGAGGAGTGTGAGGGGTTTCGTTGTTGAGACTTGTTGGTGTAACTGTTTGTTGGTGTACCATTTGGTTGGAGCCTCCTTCTGGTGTTTCTTGCACGTTTTTCTGTTGGTGTACCTTTTTGTTAGAATTTCTTGTGCTATTTCCTGTGCACTTTCTTGGCTCATCTTTCCCTCTATCAGAAGCTTTATTTCATATGCGGCAGTCTATCCAATGCATGATTCAGTTTTCGTATGAGTTAAAAGCTCCAGATATGTGTTAGCCTGTCAACAGGTTTGTATCTTGTTGCCGCCCTGTATCACTTTGTGTTTTTTGCTGCCGTTCTGGGGTTCGGTTCGGTTCGGTTCCGTTCCGTTCTGTGCTGTGCTGTTCTGTCTCTCGTCGCATCTTATTTATGGCCCCTGGCTGGTTCTGCTAATAGCGCATAAATCTTATTAATGATCTCTGTCAAGTGGCCATGAGCCCAAGAAGAGAACCAGAAGATCTGCATATATGCATTTGCATTTCATTTCTCAGTTCTAAGTCCGGACTTTTGCCCCTCCACGCTCCCGGCTCTCGTCTCTCGTCTCTCGGCTCTGAGTTCTCTGGTGTTGTGGCTGTGGCTGCTGATGGACAACTGCTTTCAACGCTACCGTCAATCAGTCAGGCTGACAAAAATGTGTTTTACCCCTTTTCCAAAGAATTATGAGAAGACCCATCGTTTGCCCTAACTTGTGTGGGTGGTTGGCAACTTGGGAAGTGGAGCGAACTTAAAATATTATAGCTACTTGGATGAGTACACATGGGGTACAAATAATATTGTAAAACTGTTTTAAGTTGAATTTTTAAACAGGAACACATTTATGAGACTTTGACGAAAGTATTACTCGAGTCTTATCTGCGCATTGTTAGGGTATCCCTGCCTCGTTATTGTCTCTTTCTTGCTCTTTCCACACACTTTGTTGTGCAACACTTGAATGCTCCCGCCTTGCCACAAATGGGCGTGTGCCTCGAGGGCGTTGCTGACTTCGCACCAGGCCAATAATCTTTAATAGCTTGCAAGAATTTGTTGATTTTTTTGTACTCCTCGTTGTTGAACTTCTCTTTTCAGACAACGCCAATCGCAAATATGCGGCAGTCCTCGTCCACCGCCTCCTGTCTTTGGAGTGTTGTCTACACCCACGATCGAGCAATTTGCATGCATGTATGACGATCTGCATCTACCACAAGACCTCCTTCCCCCTCAGCTGAATATTTGTCACTTGCGCAGCGCAGACACTTTTTGACATATTTTCATATGTCATATTGGTGTTTGTTTCTCCTTCACATGCTTGTCCGGAATGGCCATAGCAGACACCCTCGCTGATCTCGTTTCTGTCTCAAGCAATCAGTTAGATAAAGGGGAACAACGGGAAGAAGATCTGTAGAAGTGGGCGGAACTTTGACGAGACAGCAGGCTCATGTCTCACTCATCGCTCATCAAGAGGGGGAAGCTGGCACTCAATTTGTGGTCTGACAGTTCATATCTCGATATATTTGTTGGTTGTTTCAGTTCGGATTTCTGTTGTCTTTTATTGATTAATGGGATTCTTCTAATTGCTTGACATGCTGCGCTCTGCAGGCCCATGAGTCATCAAGGGAAATGACATGCAGTGAATTAATGTTTTACAATTGAATGAAATATACAGAAATTCGGAGAAGAATTTGGAACAGAATTCAGCAGCGTATTTTAGATAATTTCTTCTAATAATCTTTTCCCCCAGAAAAACTTAACTCTAGCATGCAGAATACAATTCAATCAGCAGAGGATCAGTTCAATGATCTTCCAACTCCCACCAATTGATTGTTCAGCAAAGAATTTCCATAAATGGAAAAGCATTACGATAAATATCTTGTCCGCTTGCGAGGGCGTCAAGCAAAACGATCGTTTGCTCAACTTATCTGTGGGTACCCCACTCTCCACTCCCCACTCTCCACTCTGCACTCTCCATTTCCCTCTCTCCATCTCTTTCGCTTTGTCTGTTCGGCTTGTTCCAGTTTTCAGTGTGCGGTTTTGTCTGTTACCGATGGAGCCAGAATTGACAATTAGTGAAAGTGGGAAATGTGTGTCCGGGGCCTGCTTGTTGTTGACTTAAACCAAATATCTATATCTGTATAGGCCTGCCACGGATCCCCACTGAGATCTCTGGCCCTGGGCCGTGTGAATATTTGTGGGAAAATAATCTCCATGATTTGCACTTTGCTACAGTCTCCCACTCTTTCACTCTGCTTCCCCATGGAAACTGTCAACAAATTATCAGGGAGGGAGCCTCAGAGGGTCCAGGGATTAATGGATGTTGGGGGAACCCAATCGATTGTACCCAAGACAAATTGAAAGGTAAACCATAGACAGTGCTGGCTGGGGGACAGGGGCAGACAGCCCAGACATGGCCAGATGGTTGTTGGCCTACTGAACCGCAGCGCACCGAAACTGTGCCAATAATGTAAATAGCCACCGAAGTGTCTAAATACTTTTGGCAGCGAAACCAATCGAAAGGCGAGACAAGTCGGCTGCTAAGCAGAAACCTAAAAATAAAACCCATGACGACGTTGCAGACACACACACACAGGCAGCTACACATGGACTGGGGTTAGTTCATGCCACATGCCGCATCGCATGTTGCCAACTTTTTTATTGCGTCTGATGGCCAATGATGATGCAAGGGGCTGGCCGAGACTCTTTTATTCTTGCGCTTCTCTCTGTGTGGTTTATGTTTTATGACAATTTTCTGTGCTTTTCTTCTGCGTGGGGACCCCATTGAAATTAATTGCTTGGGTTTCGCCTTTGGCAAGTGTTTATTTGGTTTATGTCTCTTTGGTCAGGCATTACTCTGTGTGGTTCTACCAGATTATTATAATCATTTGGTGTAATCTGCAATTAGCTGTAGACTGCGCAGCTGCGGAGAGGAATGATTTATGGCAAGTAGGTGGCCTCAGTAGATTTGCCTCAGTCTTGGATGATTGTTGCATGAATTACCCATGAATTTGAGTTCCCTTTTTAGTTATTTGTAACTTTCATTAGATGTTGGGGAATACTTCCTGATACTTTGAAGGGCAACCAAAGTTCTGCCTCAGCAATGCGGCTTTCAACAGACACAAACTACACGGAGATATATTTATATTTTTTTTGCCACATTTTGCGGGCACTTTGGTGTGTCTGCTGTGGCAGATGCTCGAGACATAAAAAACACCAAACTGTGCTAATGTTTTTATTCTCTGAAATATAGTATGTGTGTATGTTTATTTCTTTGACTTCTGGGGCGCCAAGCCAATTTGGCGACAGTTCCGTGTGACGGCCCCTGTCCTGCCACCGCCTTCATTTCACATTTGGGGTGGCAACAAGTGTCTGGCTGTCTTCCGTTTGGCTTTTCTTCTTCGTTTTTGATGATTAATGTGGTTTGTATTTGGCCAACAGAATCCTAACCAAGCATACTGCCAGTTACAGCATCAAATTGGGTCAAATTGGTGTAGATTTCTCGTTGCTGTCTCGAGTGTCGGATTGTCGCGTCTCCGCTTAAAGTTCAAAGTTCTCTAGCAACTCGCCTCAAAGACAATTGTTTGGTGGAAACTCTTGTGATACCATCAAAGGCGTGCCCTTGTCGGGGTTCTTCAACTCTTTCTCCAGCTCTACTCTGACCTCTGTCTGGCGGGGTTTTTCCTAAACGATCTTTTGCATCGGAACTGCATTTGTTTGTTGTTTATTCCTCCGATGCTCGCACAATGATATGCAGCTGTCTCTGTTCTTTGTTTGCCTCCCAGTTGTTCTCCAGTTACTGTTGGGGCGACGTCCCAGACGCCTCAGGTTATGCTTTGCTTTTGTGTCGCTCTCGGGTGCTGCCGCTTA